ATAAAATAGATCTTAAAGTTTTACAATTCAACATTCGAAAGAAAGAAAGAAAAAAAATAAAACTCACTTCTAGACATCTTTAAATGCAAGTCCTTTCGACCAGACATACAAGCTGTGGTTCGATCTAGAAAATTGGATTCTCCTCTCCCCCCTCCCCCCCCCCCGCTCCTCCTCCTCTCTGGTTGAGCAATTTTCTCTCTTTCTCTCTCTCTCTTTTTTTTTTTTGGTATCTTTCTTTCATTCTTTTTTTTTCTTTTCTCTCTCTCTCTTTCTCTCTCTCTTTTTTATTGTATCTTTCTTTCATTCTTTTTTTTTCTCTCTCTCTTTTTTTGTATCTTTCTTTCTTTTTTTCTTTTTTTTTCCTCCCTCTCCCCCCTACTCTCTTTCTTTCCATCTTTTTTTTTTCTCTCTGGTCTTTATTTATCAACTTTTCTTTCATCGCGATTGGTGTGATATGAAATTTATATCACATCGTGGAAACAGAAAGACATAAAGATACGGGAACAACCATCTATTACAAGCCATTCATGTCAGTGTAACTCCGTCAGCAGAGGGGGAGGAGGAGGAGGAGGAGGAGGAGGAGGAGGAGGAGGAGGAGGAAGAAGATAGGGAGGAAGGGGAAGGAGGAGGGGGAGGAGGAAGATAGGGAGGAAGGGGAAGGAGGAGGGGGAGGGGGAGGAGGAGGAAGAAGATAGGGAGGAGGAGGAAGATGGGGAAGAGAGGGAAAGGAGGGGGAGGAGGAGGAGGAAGATGGGAGGAAGATGGGAGGCAGATGGGAGGAAGAGGAGGAAGATAGGGAGGAAGGGGAAGGAGGAGGGGGAGGAGGAGGAGGAGGAGGAGGAAGATGGGGAAGAGGGGGAAAAGAGGGGGAGGAGGAGGAGGAAGATGGGGAGGAACATGGGAGGAAGAGGAGGAAGATAGGGAGGAAGGGGGGAGGAGGAGGAGGAGGAGGAGGAAGGGGAAGGAGGGGACGAGGAGAAGAAAGAGGAAGAGGAGGAAAGGAGAGGAAGGAGGGGGAAGGAGGAGAAAAAAAGGAGGAGGAGGGGAAGGGGGACGAGGAGAAAGAGGAAGAGGGGAAGGGGAAAGGGAGGAGGGAATACGAAAGTAGGAAGAGAAAATAATTGTGAGGCAAATGAAGAGGGGAAGGGGGCAAAGGACAGAGGAAGAAAGGGAGAGAGAGCCAGAGGTTGGTGGAGGATGATGGACAGGGGCAAGGGGGGAGGGGGAAGAAAGGGGAGAACGGAGAGGAAGAGGAGAGAAAGAGGAAAGAGGGGGGAGAGATGACACGCAGGAGGGGGAAGAGGAGAAGGGGGAATCGAGGAAAGAGAGGGAAGATGACACGCAGAAGAGGGAGAGGAGGAAGGAGAGGGAAAAGGGGAGAAGAAGAAAGGGGAGATAACGAAGAGGAGGGAGAAGAGCAGAGGGAAAGAGAAAAAAGAGAGGGAATGCGTGTCAACATTAACCCAATCATCGGTCTCCTTCCAATCCCTGTCGCTGAAAAAGGAAAGAGAGAAAGAAAAAACATGGAGAAAGATTAGACACAAGAATGGAACAAGGGTTGAGGGAAGGGAGGAGGTTAATAGAGAAGAACGAGTAAGAGAGAGAGAGAGAGAGGGAGAAAGAGAGAGAGAGAGAGAGAGAGAGAGAGAGAGAGGGAATGAGAAAGAGAGAGAGCGAGAGAGAGAGAGAGAGAGAGAGAGAGAGAGAGAGAGAGAGAGAGAGAGAGAGAGAGAGAGAGAGAGAGAGAGAGAGAGAATGAGAAAGAGAGAGAGCGAGAGAGAGAGAGAGAGAGAGAGAGAGAGAGAGAGAGAGAGAGAGAGAGAGAGAGAGAGAGAGAGAGAGAGAGAATGAAAGAGAGAGAGAGAGAGAGAGAGAATGAAAGAGAGAGAGAGAGAGAGAGAGAGAGAGCGAGCGAGCGAGAGAGAGCAAGAGAGAGAGAGAGAGAGAGAGAGAGAGAGAGAGAGAGAGAGAGAGAGAGAGAGAGAGAGAGAGAGAGAGAGAGAGAGAGGAGAGAGAGAGAGAGAAGAGAGAGAGAGAGAGAGAGAGAGAGACAGAGAGACAGAGAGAGAATGAAAGAGAGAGAGAGAGAGAGAAAGAGAGAGAGAGAGAGAGAGAGAGAGAGAGAGAGAGAGAGAGAGAGAGAGAGAGAGAGAGGGAGAGAGAGAGAGAAAGAGAGAGAGAGAGAGAGAGAGAGAGAGAGAGAGAGAGAGAGAGAGAGAGAGAGAGAGAGAGAGAGAGAGAGAGAGAGAGAGAGAGAGAGAGAGAGAGAGAGAGGAGAGAGAGAGAGAGAGAGAGAGAGAGAGAGAGAGAGAGAGAGAGAGAGAGAGAGAGAGAGAGAGAGAGAGAGAGAGAGAGAGAGAGAGAGAGAGAGAGAGAGAGAGAGAGAGAGAGAGAGAGAGAGAGAGAGAGAGAGAGAGAGAGAGAGAGAGAGAGAGAGAGACAGAGACAGCGAGAGAGAGAGAGAGAGAGAGAGAGAGAGAATGAAAGAGAGAGAGAGAGAGAGAGAGAGAGAGAGAGAGAGAGAGAGAGAGAGAGAGAGCGAGCGAGAGAGAGAGAGAGAGAGAGAGAGAGGAGCACATATCTCACTTGGATTTATCCTCTGTGTTATCATCACTGGCTGTCTTGTTAGGGACTTCCTTGAGAGATTTGCTGTGGTGTGAGAAACCTTCATTCTGAATACTTGCTGAACGATAAGAAATTTTTATTTTATTCGTGTTTATTTCATGGACGAAAAGTGAAGATTTTGGAATACCAACTGGGATGGAGATTTATTTATTCATATGTAAATACAGTATGTGTCTTTATTTTTTGCCTGAACGATATTAGATAGTATACACATGCAACTAAATATTTTTATTACTTCTACTATTATCATAAACAATAGTTGTTTTTCCGTTCACTCTTATTAATTATTATCATTAGTATCATCAACATTATGATTACCATATATTTATCTTTGTTATCATCATCATCACCGTCACCACCATTATCACCATCATCATCATCATCACCATCATCATCACCATCGCCACCATTATCACTATCATCGTCATTACTATCACCATTATCACCATCACCACCACAACCACACACCCCCCAAAAAAACAAAAAAACAAACAAACAACCAAACTCACACACCCTCTCTCCTTCTCCCCCTCCCCCTCCCCCCAGGCCCCAGAACGCGAAGGATCAAGAAACGGGACAAGAAGGACGAGAAACGACCGAGGACCGCGTTCACGTCCGATCAGCTGGCCAGACTCAAGAAGGAGTTCCAGGAAAACAGGTTGGTGGTCCTCGAAGTAGATGTCTTTTTTTTTTTTTTTTTTCTTTTGAGTGGGGGGGGGGTAGGGAGGTGTGTGGGGTGTGTGTGGGGATTTTGTTTTTTTGTTTTTTGTTTTTGTTTTTGAGTGGGGGTAGGGGTGTGTGTGTGGGGTTTGGGGGTGTGGATTTTTTTTTTTTTTTTTTTTTTTGAGTGTGGGGTAGTGGGTAGGGAGGTGTGTGTGGGGTGTGTGGGGAGGATTTTTTTTTTTTGTTCTTGTGTTTGAGTGGGGGGGGGGTAGGGGTGTGTGTGTGGGGTGTGGGGGTAGGGAGAGGGGATTTTTTTGAGGGTGTGGGGGGGATTTTTTGGGTGGTGGTGGTGGGTGGTGGGGTGTCTTTGATATATATTTTTTTAATTTGTTTGTTTGTGTCTTTTTCTTGTTTGTTTTGTCTTTGTTCCTGTATTTTTTTGTTTTCTCCTTCTCCTCTATACATTAAGCATCTCTTTGATTTTCTTTTATTTCATTTTCCATTTTTTTTTTCTTTTTTTTTCCTCTTTCGTTTCCATTTTCTTCAATCTCTTTACATTAACGATTTTTCTTATAAGCTTTTCCTTTTCATTCACTTTCCTCTTGCTATTTATTCTCGGATTTTCTTTTTTTTTTCCAATTCTCCTTTCCTTCGATTTTCTTCTCTCTTCTTACAATCCCTGGAAAAAGACTAATTCTTTTTCTTTGTCTCTTTCTTCCTTTATTGTTATTGTTATTATTATTATCATTATTGTTATTATTATCATTATTATTTTATTATTTTTATTATTATTACTATTACTATTATAATTATTTTCATTATTGTTACTAGTCACTATTATTATTATCTTTATTATTATTATTATTATTATTATTATTATTATTATTATTATTATTATTATTATTGTTGTTATTATTATTATCATTATTATTATAATTTTCATTAATATTGCTATTCTTATTATTATCATTATCAGTATCATTATTATTATCATTATCATTACTATTATTAATATCATTAACATTATTAGCTTTATTACTACTAATTTTATATAAACCATTAATTTGAAAGTTAATTTCCCCCCTTCTTCATTACATTAATCCTCCCTTCGTATGATTCTCCCTTACATTAACTCTCCCTTCGTCTCCCTCTCCCTCCCTTCGTCTCCCTCTCCCTCCCTTCGTCTCCCTCTCCCTCCCTTCGTCCCATTCTCTCTCCCTTCGTCTCCTTCTCCCTCCCTTCGTCCCATTCTCTCTCCCTTCGTCTCCTTCTCCCTCCCTTCGTCTCCTTCTCCCTCCCTTCGTCCCATTCTCTCTCCCTTCGTCTCCTTCTCCCTCCCTTCGTCCCATTCTCTCTCCCTTCGTCTCCCTTACATTAACCCTCCCTTCGCAACCGTCTCCCTTCCATTTACCCTCCCTCCGTCTCCCTCTCCCTCCCTTCGTCTCCCTTACATTAACCCTCCCTTCGCAACCGTCTCCCTTCCATTTACCCTCCCTCCGTCTCCCTCTCCCTCCCTTCGTCTCCCTTACATTAACCCTCCCTTCGCAACCGTCTCCCTTCCATTTACCCTCCCTCCGTCTCCCTCTCCCTCCCTTCGTCTCCCTTACATTAACCCTCCCTTCGCAACCGTCTCGCCCGCAGATACCTGACGGAGAAGAGGCGACAGGACCTGGCTCGCGACCTCGGACTGAACGAGAGTCAAATCAAGATCTGGTTCCAAAATAAACGCGCCAAAATAAAAAAGGTGAAATCTCGTTTATGGTCTAAGTCTATCGCTTTTTTTTCCTTCTTTCTTTTTTTGGATTTTTTTTTTTTTCAAAAGCTTTTTTTTTTTTTTTTTTTTTTTTTTTTGTCTCTTAGTAATCGTTTTTTCTTGTTTATTTTCATGGCATTTTTAATAGTGTCTTTGTTTTGCAATTTCTATGGATTTTGAGGAGATTGGGAAGGATAGTTAGAGTTTAGAGTTATAGTGATTTGAAGATTAAGATTCCATTGTGTTTTTACTAATACATATAAATCAATAAATAAATCTATTGATCTATACGGATATTTGTTCTCATCATTAAGAACAATATGTCTTAAAAGTAAAAATCCGAATTGAAATGTTAATATCCTAATCTGGAATATAAATAGAATTAAATTGATTATCCTTCCTAATCTCTGTTACGCAGTTTTATATGGAATTCCTCCCTCTCACGGTTGTGGCTAGCGGGTTAGATCTTTCCTGTACAATGACCATATAAAAGTGAATAACGATTAAATTTGCCATTTACATAAACAATGGGTGTCACTTTTCATTAAATTAATGACCGGCTGTTTACCTTAAAAAAAAAAAAATCATTGAATTAATGACCGGCTATTTAACTTAAAAAAAAGACCCCATGAATGATACTTAAATCAATACCTCATTACACGAGTACCATTGTCAGCGTGGAGTATGCCACGTGCATACCTCTGATCCCAGTTTCTGGCCGTTTCCCAGCAGTCCGCAGGCCAGAAGAACCCGCTGGCGTTGCAGCTGATGGCGCAGGGGCTGTACAACCACTCGACCATCCCGATCCGGGAGGAGGACGACGAGAAGATCCTGCCGCCCGTATGATCCTCGGTCTACGGGTCGTCCCTTCCCTACCAGAGCCGCTGAGACGAGGAGGACGAGGAGGAGGAGGACGAGGAGGACGAGAATCTCCCAGGACGACGGCAGGAGCGATGGAGGACGCGGGGAAAGGAGGGCGAAGTGAAGGAGGAGGAGGAGGACGCCGACGACGACGACGACGACGAAGTGACGACTACGAACGACGACGTCCTGAGTCTAGGGGACGACTCTCGCGCGGCTGACCGGCGCTGGCGAGGTCGTCCGGATGGGAGGCCAGCGAGCGCGAAACGACGACGGACGTGTATGCTTAGGAAAACGACTTCTCAGAACCAGTCCTGGTTGATGGTGTCGAAGGAGGAAGGCCTCGGTGCTCCCACGTGGCTCCTGTTCCTCCTCCCAGTGATTTCTCGTAAAGGTTTAACACAAGAGATAAAGAGAGAGAGAGAGAAAGAGAGAGATAATGATAAAAAGAAAGAGAGAGATAAAGATAAAGAGAGTGCTAGAGAAAGAGAGAGAAAGAAAGAAAATAATCGCGTTCTCTGATTCTCACCTGACGAAAAATATGTGTTGGTGTCTCCGGATGACAAAGCTGGTCGTCCGTGGCTTCCGGAGACTGTGGGCGAGCGCTGGGAAGAAATCCGGCAAAAAGTGATAAAGAGATAATTGTGTCCAAAAAGAGGCAAAACACGCGATTATTTAAAGACAAGTGATGAAGGACCTCAACTTCGTCTGTCTGTCAAAGAGATGTTGCCTATTTTGGTCGACTGAAAAGCTCCCGAACTATGTCTCTTTTCCCTTGTAAAATCAGGCTCTCGTCTTATCTTCAGTAATACAAAATAAAATAAAATAAAAGTGTTGACAAAACAAACACGATGATCACTTTATCGGAAGTAGTGATGTTCCAACACAGGCATATTAACAAGAATAGTTCGTTGTCATAAGTCTTTTAGAATAATGGGCATACGAGTGAGTAAAGAACAGGGAAATATGCAGATGTAAAAAAAACAAACAAACAAAAATTGGAAGTGATTGGTGAAAGAAACTTTTTTATCCTCATGTCGTGAAGAAAAATGAAAATATAAAATCGCCTTCGAGTAATTAGAACTTCTATCTTTAATCACTACAGGCGATTTTTGGAACAAGCTCTGAACACCTTTTTAAGATGAAGAAGAATAAAGTGTATATCACAGCTTCTTCCGTGGATGAAATAGACTGTCTATCACATGACTGGCATCTGTATTATATGTAGTGGTATACTAATACCTGCTGAACTGTTCTGCTCTGTAAATGGCAAAACCTTTAGAATAATTTATGGTGTATTTATATGGTACCATTGCTGTTTGTAATGGTAATTTACTCACACATTGGACTCAGGTGTTCTTGTTTTTTTTTAATTATTATTTTTTTGTTCAGTTTTTTTTTTTTTTTTCTTCCTCATGTTTTATTTGAATATTAATTTGATGATTAAACTTCATGCGATGTTGAGGCACACAGAATTGTATAGCCTGTATTATTCAGTCGATTCAACATTCCCTGGGATTTCTGTTTTAAGCAAGTTAGAAGGATTAACAAAAATCAATGGCTATGATGTATGCCGCACACACACACACACACGCACACACGCATACACACACACACACAAGCACACACACACACACACACACACACACACACTAGCACACACACAATCACACAAACACACAAACACACACACACAAACACACACACACACTAGTACACACACTAGTACGCACACAATCAGACAAACACACACAAACACACACACACACAAACACACACACACGCAGAAGCACCCAAGCACACGGAGGAGCAGACAAGGAATAGTATTAAAATATCGTGCTTCCTGAAATTACACAAATCTGTTCTTTATCTAATCTCTTAATTTCCGTCGATTTCCCCCTCTGGCAACACGAAAATTTAGTAAGTACATGAACTAAAGATTCTGATATACTTTCACACTTATTGACACTAATATATATATATATATATATATATATATATATATATATATATATATATATATATATATATATATATATATATATATATAATATATAAATATATTTATATATTCATATTATGTATACGTATATATACATATATATATATATATCATTTATATATATATATATATATATATATATATATATATATATATATATATATATATATATGTATATATATATATATATATATATATATATATATATATATATATATATATATATATATATATATATATGTATAAATTATATATATGTATGTATATATATACATATATATACGTATATATATATATATATATATATATATATATATATATATATATATATATATATATATTTATATAAATTGACCCCAACATATATAATATTGAAAAAGTAAATTATTAATTTGTACTTTTCAGTTATAACAGTAAAGGAAACAAATATAAAAACAATAACCTTTTTCCATTTTCTTTGAGGTCAACTACGAAGTCTGTGTCAAGGGTCTCTATTTACACCTTCAATAAGGCTCATTTTCCTTCTACTTGTCACATACATACAGTAGGTGTGCGGCTTCCAGATTCAGTGTTTGCTCTAATGCTTTGTAGAAGTGTGTAGTTTATAGACATTGGAGTACTGTTAGCAGGACTTAAAAAAAAAATCATTTAAAAATAATTAAAACTTTGTAATTAATTACATATAGTATGAATGGTCAGATGTGTGTGAGTGCAAATGTTATCCTCTTTAATCGTATCGTTTTATATAATATTACGGAACCGAAAACCTGTGATACATGTGTGTGGATTCTGTAATTAACTAAATAAAAAAAAGGTAATTAAGTAAGTCATAACACTTTCTACAGTCTTTGTTATATAAACGTATTATATGATTGTCTCCTACATTATTACCATATTAAGGTCCCTTGATATAGGCGAAAATAAAAAAGGAATGGTTATCGTACACCTGGTAGCTGTGTGCGGTTATATCGTACGCTAGCAATCATTATCGTACAGATGGTCATCGTTCTCCTGGCTCTTCCTATGGTAATAGATGGCCAGAGTGACAACATACAACCCTTTATACCTCCATAGGCTTGTTTTATCATTGCTAAAACACCGTATGGGCGTTAATAGTGGGAGTAACTACCTCTCCACACCTCAGAAAGGGAGAGAAAACAGAAGCTTCCGCTGCCATTTTTTTTTTCCTCTTGACCTAGATGCCAATTCTGATTTTACGATTGGGAGAACGTTTTTACGACTTTGAAGGAAACGTTTCTGTGTGGGAAACGTTTCTGTATGGATTGAGCTGTTGCCAAGGTAGTGATCCTCTCCCCTCCCCCCCTCCTTCCCCATCCCATCTCCCCTTTTTCTCTCTCTTTCTTGTTCTTTCGAAGAGGATTGTGAACAGAGGGAATTATGTGAAGGAAGGTTATCAAAGCAAAAAAGTGGCTTATATTTTGTTAATCTTAAAGGCGAGAAAAAAGTAATTATTGTAGATGTTACTCCTTTATTCTGTTCAATTTATATCTTTATATATTAATTATTATTTTATCTTTTATATGTATATATGATTTTTCTTTTGATAAATTTTCTGTTCAACATTATATGGAAACAAATCAGATCCTTACCGATACCCTCCTGAAGGCTCAAATTTCTCTGTCACAATTGCTCTACGTTCTTTCATTTTCATTATTTCTCGTACAAATAACCATATCTAGTTCCTATTCCTTCCCCAATTAAGATTTTCCCTCTTTAACAAAAAAAATAAAATATAGCGGAGCTGAATAAATGAAAAAAATGAATAAAATGTAAATATTAATGATATTTCGTTTTAATAACCCTGAACGCTTAGAATATATAGATTTTAAAATTCATATACAAAATGCTGGAAGATAAAGATGATATTAATGATAATAGTAAAAAACAAATACAAAAAAACAAACAAACAAAAAACAGCAAATATTATGCAAACAATGGTGATGAATATATAAAATTATCATTCATAATTATAATGATAAACTATAACACTGATAATAGTGATAATAATAAAGATTTTTTTTATTAATGATAATGATCTTACCGGCGATAGTGATAGTAATAAAATAAAACAGTAATGATGAGAATAATCATTACGATGCTGACAATCGAAACCATTAATTATAGGGACACTAATGATGATAATGATGACATCAGCATGATATGATTCTCGTAAAACTAGTGATGCTTATAATGACGATGGAAGGGTGATGATGATGATGAAAATAATAAAAATGACAATAATGATAATAGTGACAATAATAAAAATGATCATAATAATTAATGATATAATGATAGTGATAATATCAATAAAAGATATCATAATAATCAATTATAATGATAATGATATAATGATAGTGATAATAAGGATAAACATTATCATAACGATTAATGATAATAATAATATAATGATAGTGATAATGATAATAATAAAAATAGTAATGATAATCGTAAGGATAATGATAATGATAATAAAGATGGTAACGATGATGATGAAGATAACAATGATGAATATTAACAATAAACAACAACATTAGTAAAAAATAATTATAATTCTAACATAATAATAAAAATGATAAAGAGGAGGAAAATAATGATAAAAATATGGATAATAATAATAATAATGATAATGATGATGATAGCAGTGATGATAATATAGTAGTGATAATGACAATATTAGTAATAATGACAACAACAATAACAATAAAATGACAAAATATATTGATAATGATAATGATAACAATGATGATGACGTTAACAATATTGATTATCATTATCATTATCATGATAATGATAATTGTAGTAGTAATCATGATAATGAAGATTATAATAACAATAATAACAACTACGAAAAGAATGATAGTAGTAGAATGATAATAATTACCATAACAATGATGAAAAAGATAATAACAATGATAATGATGATGATAATCAATAAAAAAATAGTAATAATAATAATAATGATAATAATAGATACAATAAACATATTGATGATGACAATAGTAATGATAATGATAATAATTGTCATTATCATTATAGTTATGATTATAAATACAATGAAAATGACAATGATACAGACAAAGATAATGATAATAGTGATAGTAAAAATAAAAATATCAATGATATTAATGATAGAAATAGCAATGGAGATGATGATGATAATAAAAATAATGATAATAATGATAATAATAAATGATAATATTATTATTGATAATAATAATAATTATAATTATGATAATAATAATAATTATAATTATGATAATAATAATAATAATGATAACAATTATAAAGATGATATCAAAATTATGATAATAACAGTGAAATGACATTGATGATGGTAATAAAAATAAAGTTAATGATAATGACAAGTATGATGATCATGATGATGATAATTATAATGATGTGATAATAATGATAATGAAGACAATGATAATGATGATGATGTCGATGATGATCATGATTGTTATAATTTTGTTATTATTATTATCATCATTACTATTATTATTAGCATCCTTATTGTTATTATTATTACCATTATTATCATTGCTATAGTTGTTAGACCGTTAGTTTATACACATTTATTATTTACACTGCTATCGGAGTAATGGAAAGAAGGAAGAGAAAGAGGGGAGAGGTAGAAAGGGAGAGAATAGAGCTTAACGAGAAAAAAAAATGAAATGGGGAAGAAGATGGGTAAGGGAAAATACAATAAAAGGGAGATGGGAGAGGGAGAAAGAGTGGGAATAGCTCTTAAAGGGACAAGGGAAATGGGGAAGAGGAGAAAGAAGGGAAACGGATGGGGACTTAAAGAGAAAAAAAAGGATGAGTGAAGGGAAAGGGAAGAAGGAGAGAGGGAGCTCAGAAAAAAAATAAAAAAGAGGGAGAAAAAGGGAATTAGGGGCGAAGTTAGGGAGTTTAAAGCAAGCAAGGAGGGAGGGAAGTGGGGGTAGGCAGATACAAGGCTTAAAGTTAGAAGGAGGAAGTAATTCAAAGAAAATCTGGGAGTGTGAGGGGTGGCAGAAAGGGAAAAGTAAAGAGAGAGAAAGAAAAAAAAAGAGAAAGAGGAGGCAAAATATAGAAGGAAGAGAGTGAAAGAGGGAGAAAGTAGTAGGCTACCACTACTACTACTGCCAATAATAATGATTATAATTATAATAGCAACAACAACAATAATGATAATAATAACAATAACAATAATGATAATAATAATAATAATAATAATAACAATAATAATGATAATGATAGTAATAAGAAGAAAAATGATAAAAAATAACAGTAATGATAATGATAATGATAATAATAGTGATAAAAAATAATCATTATCTTCATGATCATAACGATAACATATATGATAATAATAACAAAGATAATAACAATGGTTATGATAATAATGATAGTAATAATAATAATAATGATAATAATAATAATAAATAATAATAATAATAATAATGATGATAATGATACAATGACAATAATAACAATAATGATAATAATAATAATAATGATAATAATGATAATAATGATAATAATGATAGTAAAAATAAAAATATCAATGATATTAATGATAGAAATAGCAAT